GGGGGGGGGGGGGGGGGGGGGGGGGCGTAACGATATGTGTACTGTGAAACTGAAAATGAATATGTAAATTGTTATGAATATATGTGAATATGTAAAATATTCTACAAGGTATTACTAATGTGTAATGTCAATAGATATATTGGGACTGTAAAAAGTCAAGGACTTATACAGTGGAATAAATTAAACCAACTATTGTCCATAAGTGTTAAAAAACAGACAACAGAAGAAAATTATACTATTTATACTATTATTATACTATTTTGACCATCAGTATTTTCAATGCCCACAAATGGCCTCTCGTTTCGATTAATAACGTGAAGATAGCTATTTGCGACGACGGGAACGTGATGCACGGTATAACGCGAGATTAGACGAGTATCGTACGAAATTTTGCGATTTCGTTTTGAATACGTACGACGCTCGTTAAGATTAAGATTGAGATTTAGATTAAGTATCCCTCGACCAAAAAACTATAAACTGATGTATGTAATGTAAATTGTTGGAGAGCTGGTATCTATAATGTAACGCATATGTAGTCAATTTATTATGAATACATTGTGACTCAAAGAAGGGAGAAGAGAGGAAAAGAATCTGAAAAGCATTGATCCAAAGGATCGATATTATAATTACTTTTTACCCTTACACTTATTTAAGTCGAAAGAGGATGAAAAAAAAACCTAATAAAAGGAAGATATGTCGTCGCGCATGTGGAATGTTTTATTCTAATATACACGCATGTATGTTTATACATGACACACGAGAGTATGAATGTAATACGATATATAAATACAGGCTTTAGATACATTATCAACAGGTTTTCTGTGGCTGGCGAAGTCTCAAAAGCTCTTCCTTGGCCTCGGTACGTTTTCTGTAAACTGACCGATGATATTGCCTCTCGGATGGTAACAAGCGACCACGACGCAGGTGCCATCTCTCTTCGCCACTGCGATACCTACTTCACTCGTATTCTTCCATACGATTTGCGTGAAGTGACCTGCAGACGGAAAGATAGAAAATAAAGATTCTTAATCGCACAGAACTAATCAATAGGTCACAATGTATTGCGGCGAAAACTTACATGTGTTCAAAACTTTAGGTTCAATACCAAATTTGTGTTCCTTTTTCTCGGAATACCATTTGGATATCACCTCACGCGCAGAAACCATCATTTTTGGATCAGAGCATTGCATGGAGTAAATATTCTCGCCGTAAGGTGACGACGGTTGTGGCACGAGTTTGTGAGTAACCAGTAAAGTACAAGCCCATGCCTAGAACAAAGTACATAAATTAATTAAGCGTCTTCCACTTCGATGGAACTTTCTCATTGCTTTCCCGTCACGCATTTTTTTCGTTCTGTTTAAAAAAACTTACTTTAGCAGCTGCTGTTAGATCAGGATTTAATCTCAGATCAGGCACCCCGTGCTTTCGCCTGTATTCATTGTGAACTGCGAGTGCTTCTTGCTGCCAGGTTTCTTCATCTACAGAGACAAGACTCTTCTCGCTATTGAGTTTCTTACCAGGAGGACAATTGCCGCTGGGCGGAAGAACGTTGTCGATAAAGCTGCCCAGGAAATTACCGGCAGGGTTATAATTGCAGACAACATAGACTTCACCATTTCGATTCCTTGCCATTCCCACGCCGAGTTCCGTACTGTCTCTCCATACCACCTGAGTGAAGTGTCCAGTCTTGAGTGTTGTGGGTTCCTTGCCATATTGATGCTGGGCCTCCTCAGCATACCTGTAAAGTCACAATAAATCTTAATACCACCATACAATTGTACGAACATTCAAGGTCGACTGTGGACGCAATTAGGTCTCAGTCCAAGTATATAAACGAACAGCTTGCCTTTGAGGCATCAGGCACATATGTTTAATGAAGCACTCCCTACCACACTCCTTACTTTAATCCTAATCCTTATCCTTATTCATATAACATTAATACAGTAAACGTATACAGTAACTACTGACCACTCGTTAACTGGTTCCTCGCCACCCACGATTGTCTTAGGATTTGAGCTCCACATGCAGTAAAGATTTTCGCCATAATCAATATTCGTCCTGTGCTCTAACCTGCTTTTGGCAGCCAAAATGTTCGCCCAATCCTGACTCGCTTTACACAGCTGAAATATACAATTGTCCAACGTTACTAATGACATACAAAATGAGGCTATCGATCGGATCGACGACGAAAAGATCATTATAAGTACCTGCTTGTTGAGTCGTAAGGGCGGTACACCATGGCGCGCACGGTAGAAGTTGTGGGTGTCGAGGCAGACGTAGACGAATTCTTTGGGCGGCCCCGATCTGCGCACAGACGGTTTACGCGTGTCAGTCTTTGTAATCTACAACATATAAAGAAAGAGCGTGACCAAGGATTCGTGAAGTCAACAATTTTTAACTCTAGCCTAGTCACGTAACCTATAAAACTGTCAAAGGAACATCAATGGTGACACTGACTGGCAAAGGTTTCCCATATTAGCGAAAGATCATTATCTCAGGGATGCGTGGCACTTCCTCAACGATTTGATGATCAGTACGAACTTCCAATGGCATACTAAGAATGAGTACACGAGCTGAAAATTTTCTTTGGCAAGAGTCTGAAAAACCGAAAAGGACTTACGTTTGGCAGGTTTTCGGTCGAAAAAAAAAAGAAAGTGAAACGACCGTTCATTTTTTTTATTTTTTTTTTTGAAAAATTATTGAAACCGGTACTCAAACTTGAATTCAATGTAAAGGAAGGCTTAATGTCTTTCCTGATTGGACAGTTAATACACGTATCCCATGAAAGCCTATTAAGGGTTCCCCGAAGTCATTCCCTTTGATCTTTCGTCTATTTACGTCGCGGTAAAACGGCAGTACGTATTTTCTATACCTACAGATAGTCAAAGAGCAACAGTCACGCTGATGACTCAAGATCACTTCCTTTAGCAGGATTTAATTGGCCGAGCGGCAAAGCTTCTCTCTTACAAATCACTTCGTTTGCACCTTACGCGTCGATTTGGCCAAATTACGTGCAGTGACTAATCGAAATCGGTTGGTAACAGACCATTTTTTTTATTCATCACCTCTATGGCTATTTAAATAACGCGATCCCATTCCGTCCTCTTCTGTCCATTCACTCAAGTACGGTAAAATTGACTTCGTTAGGGAATCAGAAATTTATACGAAAAAAAAAGTGAAACTATAATGACATAATATCAACAACGAATCACCTGAGATGATGAGTATCGTGCAGAGTCCGGGGATGCTGATGACGATCTGGCGCTGCTACACGACATCCCATCGCTTCCCAGACTCCCATGAAAGCTACCGTGTAAAGAGTTGGACAGTGGTCCAGGGGATGCTGGGGATGCTGTGAGCGGTGACTTTGATCTGACAGAATCGGCTCTGGACCTGCGAAATAGAAATTTCCCATAACTATGACATGTCGTAAATCAAGTGCGCATGCGTGAGTATGATAATTTAAGCCGAAGAAAAAAAAATTGTAAAACTTAATCGAGCCATTTCTCCTCTGACAAGATATGCAACCAGGTGGATGTGAGATACGCGAAAGTACTCTCACGTAGCTGCAAAGGTTAACGGGCGCCATCTTCCTCGAGCGTCTCTCCATGATTTTGCTTTTACCTTTGCGCGCATGTATAATTTATACGAAGATTTGCCTACTGGCCGATTGCATCTTCCAGCACCGCCAAGGATCAATGGCCGAGTGATAGAAAGCTATGAAAATCTAAGAATCGTTTAAAAAATCATCAATGATTTACGTTCGTTCGAATGATCTACTTCAATTATGTAATTCAGTCATTGAACGTTAGGATCAATTCGAGCTGACCTCATTAATTAATCTCGGACAATCGAGTCAACAGACATTCAGATGACCGTCTCCTCATTGCGATTGTCTTGAAACTCTTCGGTACACGTGGTGTAAAAAACTAGCAGTAAATGTAAAGCACAATACAAATCGGCTTTAGGCGAGAAAAGCTCGACTTAAAATTACTATATACAGATATAGCTCACGTGAACGCGTCCATAACCTGGTGAAGTAACTCTATAGACGTTACACGGCATGCAAAACAGAAAGCTTTCGAGACATTTGACTCGAGACTCCCCAGTCACGTGCTTAACCATACGAAATCCGTGAAATCGAAATTTTCAATATGCATGCATACGGTCTATTTTTAAATAACGTTCGCAAAATGTCAAATCGACTAGGTAAATTCGCGTACAACGTATACCGAATGACAATGACTCCTATACTATTTACAAGAATTATAAATAATCACACGTACGTCTCACACATGTGACTTAAGTGACCTTAACGATCTGATAAATTTTCATGTACGTTACCGACTTTGATATTCAGCGAACAACGTTACTGTCAAGGGTGAAAAAAAAATACTAAAGACACCCCGAAGAAAACTGAAAATTTCGTGATTTTTGTCGATGCAAAAATTCGATCGAGAAGCGCGGTGAAGAAAATTTGAATATGTGCAATGAAAAAGAATTTTTCCTCCACCAGGATAAATACCGAACGAAACGGTTACACAGTTTCCTCGAAGCGACGAATCGAATAAATTTCGTTTCGGTCGAATCACTTTGATTCGCTACTGCGCCGTTTTATCGTGACCCTCATTCGGAGGCGAAATTCATTAACAAGGTCGACAAATTAATTTACAGATCTTTCGGTGCGTCCATGCCAGTCGTAATGCGATAGTAGTCTAAATTAAGTGACGTGGTACTAGACACTACAAACAAACAAAAAAGAGCAAAGGCACTCTGTGTATTTTGTTGGTACCTTTCAGGCGACAGCTGATCGACAAAACCGACAACCTTCTTTTTGGTGCCGCTTACGCTCAGCGAAGGCATACTACAAGGGCAACGATTTACGATTTACAATGGTTCCGATGGTAAATGATCTATGAATCGGTGGGGATCTAAGTGGCGCGATCCTTCGAGCGAAACGAGCGTCTTACCGATCCTCGACGTCATCGAGGATGACGACGAGGATCCTTCGCGAGAAGACCGGCTGGAAAGTACCTGCGTAGAAAGGAGCTGTCTGTGCATTCTTATATACACTCTTGCTGCTGTAGGATACACAGAAGATACGGCTGTGTAAACCATCTAGAATAATATTATCCAAAGACCAACCGCATATAGAGGTTTAGTAGACGAGTATAAAAATAATCTATCCTCGTGACGATAAAATGACATAGAATAATTCATTTTACGAGACGCCAGATTTTCGCTCGAGAGATATTCGGCCTTTTATGCAGACAATTATTATTTGACGTTTTTATACACTGCTTAGAAATCATTTAATCGAAAGATATATTATTTTATAGGAAACTACGTATTGTATATTTTGCTACACTATGTACGTTCTTATTTTTTTCCTCTATTCGTATACACTAAAGTGGATTGCATATCTAAGTGATGCAGATTTATTAGGATGTCAAGATAAAATACGCCAAGTCCGGTAGATGAATGAGATAAAATATGATTATCTAATTTTCAGTTGATTTTCAAAAAAAAAAGAATTTTCTTGTCAATCTTATCTATAGAAATTAACGGCTTACCTGTTTGACTTTGGCGTGACAATGTCACGTGTTTCAGATGTATATTTCCTTTCGGCTCGGCCGCCATTAAACAGTTCGACGGTTTCCCTCGTGACGGTTTCAAGCAGGGGTTCTCCACCGCGTCGACCCTTACTGAAGGTCCTTTGGTCCGTCTTACGCACCATTACCACCCTCGATAAGGGTTGGTTGAACTCGTGCCCGTGCATTGTAGGGGGTATCATTGCGAGGGACTGTGAAAGTGGACCACCGACACGCGGAGATCTGAAACACGCAAAGTTTTCTACCCTCAGTTTATATAAATATATAATATGCTGGTAGACACATAAAAAAGTACATAAGGGCACTGTATATATGTATATGGTTCAACACGGTCGTTTCCTTCACAAATAATACTCGATATAGGATGTCTCGTTTTCCATTGTATTCTACAAGTGAAATCTACAGGTAACGGCGGTCGTCAATAAAATATTCTATAGGAATGAAAATATAACAGACTGAATAATTTATTACCCCATTGTTTATTTATCGCGTAGACATTTATTCTTTGAAAATGCACGTGAGCTAATAAATATTATTCAATTATAAAAATTCGTTATCCTTATAAATGAAGTCACAGTGTATAAGGATATAGATGGCAGTATACTATAACTAGGGTTATAGTGCATAAATGAGATTTCAATAAGATCCAATAGGATCAGTTCAAGCATCACAATTTTTATTACCCTTCGTAAAACAACCTAGGATTACCTGATTTACAAAAAAAAAAAAAAAAAGAAATTGTAACACTTAACAACTTTACTCCTTCTTTCACGGTTAAATATAAATCAGCATAATTAATCATGACATAAATTCGCAGACCTAGTAAGTCAACGAGTGGAATCGTTATTACGTCCTTCTAGGTAAAGGCAAAATTACTCTTTCTTTTTTGTACTCGATTCACGAAGAACTGTAGGATAAAGACCTAAAAACAGCGGCGTAGTTAAATCCACAAAACGCGCTCATCTCTCGTAAATATAAGACTCTTGTATAAATCGTGAAGGCATGTTCGCAATTAATCCACTGTACAGCCGATTAAACATTATCGCTCATAAAACTTCCTCAAGTACCTTAACCTTGCGCAACGTTCACTAGTCTGCCCACTGCCGATCGGTAGTTGACGATCCGATGCAAAATTTTCTCCAGCGCTGCAGTAACGTCCGAGTGGGATAGGGGTTGGGGGTGGGGAAAGAGGAGGGGGGTAAAGAGATACCTGCAGTTTTTCCCCGAGTCAGAAAAAAAATTCGATCTCATCGATAGCAAATATCCATCACGATTCCAACCGATTTCTCACGATCGTTAATTTTCACAGATTTCATAAAATTTTTCCATACCGATCAAACACCGTTAACTGTCAGCGACTGGTAAAATAAAAGAATGATGTTTGAGGGATACAGTGACGGATTGCACGAGAGTTACCCCCACATATTTGACGCCACTGTCTTTTACCGATTTTAACAGATTTCTTTTTTTTTCCACCTACAAACGGAAATCCTATTCGATGCAATGATTTTACGAGAGACGATTCTCGGTTTGTATTCACGTAACTACGAGTACGGAGAAGACTCGTAGCGTACAACGGAACGGATAGAACTGGCACGAGTGCGGTCGCGAGAGAATGCTCCTCTCGTTCTTTTAAGAAAGAGAGAAGGAAAAGAAGAAGGAGAGAGAGAGAGAGAGAGAGAGAGAGAGAGAGAGAGAGAGAGAGGAGAGGTGGCCAATTAGCCGTTACTCCGGACTCCGTGCCACGGCGGCCATCACGGCATAGCCGACTCGCTCGAAGTCCTCCTGGCACGCTTCTTACAAATTATTTTACCAAACCGATTTCCCACATCCTTCGAGTCTCTCTTACCGATCACCAATGACGAAACGTAAGAGCAAAAAATACATTTCTCCTGAAATTAACGTTTTTAGTTAGGAGATCGTAAGAAATCAAACCGCCATCCGATTTCTGTCGATAATCGATCTATCGATCAATCGAAACTTTCGAGACGAGCAAAAGAAAGGACCGGAAACCGTTCGAAGCCATCTCCAAGAAAATTCAACGAACCGTGGAGATTGGCACCGGTGCTGTTCCGCCGTCACTAATAATAATAACAACAATAATAAGGCAAAAGAAAAAAAAATAATATAAAAAGAGAACTTCGCCGGAGCAAAGTGATTCTCCGAATTTTTAGCGGTTCAGGATGTTCAATATAATGACAATGAATCTTGTTTTCAAATAGTCGCCAACCAGAGATTCAAGATTTTTCGTAATTATCTCGAGAGCGCCGAAGCATAGATCTCGGCGCATAATTTGACTCCTAACGCAAACATAGTCTACTTGTCCCGCTATTCTACCGGCTGACCGGAATCATTGCTCTGGAACCACGGCGTGCAACATCTTGCCACGAAGAGCTGGATGGACGCACGTGCGTGCTCACGTGTCTGGACACGCACGTGGTATTTGATGTGACGGTGTTTTGTATACACATATATATATATATATATTAGAAGAGTACTGTGGTTCTCTATCATGCTAGCCAATTAACCGGGTAAGAAAATTATTTACGGTGAGCAGAGCATCGTGAAGCATCTACTCATCATATAATGCAGATATTTATATATATATATTTATATGTATAAGACGATAATAATGATAATAATAAGATGAAGAAAGCGTTCGCTAGTTTTCTCGGTTAAATCCGGGTTCGTATAGTAACTTCCGTCTAGCTCGTGAATAGGAAATCTTGCAAGTGTCACGAGTTCGAGTCTGATAAATTGGTACGACTGCTGCAGCAACTTGAAACGTGGTATTATTATTGATTTAGCTAAAGGTCATGTGGCTAGAGTTACTTGTCTATTATAATACGATTACGAAAGACGTATTGGGTATGGATATAGTCGGTTTGTAATAACGATACTTTTATATCTAATTAGGGAGATGAAGAGGAAGTTGAAGAAAAGATTATCGAAAGTTGATTTAACACTACATTGCCCAAGGAAGTCATTTTGACTGCTTCTTAATTTCAATTAGAAAAACAATTATGTATATAATGACACAATTTCTTAGAACTTTGTGACTTTTTCTACAACATATAAATGCGTTTATTAATTATTGTAGTTACCTCCCCCCTCCTTCATTTCCGGTATATATATATATGTGTTATGCCTATATTGCCCAAAAGCAGTCGTTTTAACTGCTTGGGAAATTTTAAATAATCAAAGGACTCTTATTTTGAATTGAGTAAATTTCTTATATGACCAGTTCGGCTCTGTATTGAAATAACAGTTTTCATTTTTTTTCGATTATCCTCACATGATAACATACAATACATGATAAATTGTCGATTTGGGCGTATACTTGATAAGTCGCAGTTGCTCAATAAGCTAAAGTAGTACTTGTTATTCGAATCTTTATGCAGTGATACTTGTTCTAACAAGTTGTTTATTTTATTTCTTTTGCGCCCTAAATTCATGTACGAAATGTCGAATAGAAGTATATAACTGTAAATAATATAAAAAATATTAAAAATTAATTTTAAACAAATTTCTTGACACATTAGTTATTCTTTCACAATGCAGTCATTTTGACTGCTTTGAGCAATATAGGTATATACTAAGTTTTGGTCTTTCTAGTGTTAAATATATGATTTTTAGAGATCGAATTATCGTTTGAGTTTTTTTACATTTCCCGTTATCGCTTCATTTTGAGAGGAGGTTCCTCTGAATTTTCATTGATTTTAGGGAGAAAATTGATTTTGAGATTTTGACATTTTTAGGGCCATTCGCCTTTCGTCTAATTATGTACAAAGATTATAAAAAAAAAAAAATTGGTAAGTGTTGTGGGTAGATATTTCGCTACTTAAATGCAGTATGGGTTAATTCAGTACACCTCTTTCAAATACAATAAATGCGATTTTTTTCAAAATTACATTTTTTATTATTTAAAAATTCCAGCGTAACACCGAATCAATCTATAATTTGCTTACGATTTCTTCGGGGCATATGAAAGTCATCTTAAGCTACAAACAAGTGTCATACGCAATCTTCAGAATTTATTTTTGGTTGACGACTAAAACTTCGAAATTCGAATTGAATGGCAAATCGCAAACATGTATGAAATGAAAATGTTAAAAAATTCTACATAAAAGAAGTAGTAGACTAATATTATTATTCGTTATACACTGTTTTGTAATATTATACGCGTACAATTTAATTTTTCAACCGGAAGTAGATTTACCAATTTTGGGACCTTTTCTTCGAACGTCAAATCAAACATCGCGAATCCGCCAAAATTTCCATGTTGATATAATTATCCAAAATTACAAAACAAAAAAATGTTTAAACCAAACATTTTATAAAGTCCTCTGACACGTATTCGAAGAAAACCATTTTTCACAAAAAATTCAACTTTCAAATATTCACCTGCGTCTTCCCTTAACTAACAAGACCTTTTTTTAAATTAATTAATTTCATATCATTTCAGCTGCTTAAAATACTGCTACTACTGAAACTGCTTGACTTTGAAAATTTACTAATAATATTCCTTTCCCGGAATAAAATTACCTTAGATGACATTACCGTATATTACCTGCGACGTCTGTGAACGAAGATACGTCGCGAAGCCACTGTGTATATTTACCGTAACGTTTCCAGGAAAGCGCTTGTTATAAAACTAAGGTAATTCGATAACGAAGGTTAATTTGAAAAACACAAGGATCATGTGAGACGCGAAACATCCTTTGGGGAGTAAGGAATATCGCAAAAACGTGCAGTTGCATAATGTCCGAGCACTGTTGTCACGTAGAGACAGTCACGTACGCGTACATACGTATGTACAATATTGGGAGGTCGTGACTATCATAAAACACCTGACATTGTCCCGTCACGTATAAAAATCCATGGAAAACGGAAGGAAGCGTCTTCGAGATACGACTTCCGGTTGCAAATATATACGAAAATCGTGTATCTAAAAACAATTAATTATCTACAGAGACTTCGAGGAGTCTGATAAATATTAAGAAATTTCAATATAAGTACATAATAGAGTAGTATCTTCCCAGAGCGGGAAATTTGAATGTCTATTAAAAACATGAATTGTGAATTATATAGATTTTCGATGCATACTAACATCAGGGTACTTTTAAATAGGTTACTTGCGTAACCGAGTACGAGTATTCTTCGCTCGTAATTAACAATAATTAGCAAGTCGTTGCGTAACATTCATTCTGAGTCAATATATTCTAACGAGACAGGTATAGGTATGCAGATGTCGCTCTACGAGTCTGCGCGATCAAAGACCCAAGTAAGAAATTTCAACTAACAGGAAGGCAATTAGAATACCTTAAATAATAAAAGTAAGAAAAGAAATCCCATCTCTCTGAACGCTTTTGCGAATTAGCAATTAAATCTTGAATTTAGTTAATTTTGAGGTCAACCGAGAAACCGCACGGAACGTCTTGTCGTACAGCTGTGCGAAACTGCCGTGTCTCAGTCAGCACGACCATCAACAGAAAGAACATCAGTGACAGTGTCAGCTCTGCCGGAGAAGCTCGCATCTGCTAATTTAATTCGCACGTTCCCGGCGAAATAGGTAAGAAAACCGCTAGTCTGTCGTCTACGCGTTGAAACGTTAATGCGAATTGCGGGACGCGGAACGACGCCGACCGGAAGCCAGGATGCCAGCGTGTTATACGTTGATTAGCCGTAATTCGCTGTTCCGAGGTAAATCGAAACCGCCGTCAGCAGGGTGGTCTCGTGTTGCACGTCGCTAAAGTGCGCGGTTCTCGTCGAGCGTGCAAATATTTGCTTGGCAGGTGTGCCATGTATGATTTATATTGTAAAATAAGTCGATTGCACTTGCGAATATATAGATATACATGCTTATCCAATTAGAAGCAGGGTTCAAGGCTCGCGAGTTCAAGGGACCCCAGGAATACGCAAAGCTCGCTTTATTGAAATATCTTTACACGTCAGTGTGTCATTTTCATGCAGGGTGATAGGAGTCAATTATTGGCGATGAACTATATGGCAATGTAAAACGAAGCCAGGAGTTAGGAGCGAGGATGCAGCACGTGCCAAATACTACAAACGGACACGTATAGGTATACAAACATATGTAGACTCATATGAGAACTCGAATTATTACCATACTTTATCAGTACCGATATGTTTTTTTCCATTCAATTGAAAAGATGCTCATGAAGATATTTCATTATTTACCATATTCATGTAAAAAAAAAAAAATACGGGACTCTCAGTAAATATAACCTAACCAATTGTGATTGTAATTATTCGAAAATTATGTCTCTAAGTGACGCACAATAAAGCGTTGATAAATATTACAAAATTCTTTTATGTCGATACGAAAAATATTATCCGATACGTTATCGATATGGCGTTACTATTTATGGACTGGTTATACGCCCCAAATTAAATATATAAATAAATCCTTTCAAATTTTACCAGTTATCGCATCGAGCACCCCCTGCTGCCCTGTTATCAGTACATTACTCAGATCAACTTTTAACCGTAAAGATAGTGAACTTCTGTTAAGTACTGTGGCGTGTAAAGTCCAGCCCACTTGAACCACCGAGAGTCAATGGTTTACGTTGCGGCTAAAGTAAACGTTGGATATCCGCTTGTGTTACGTCAATTTAAGCCATTCGCAAGACTGGTAACAGTAAGTTCTCATTACTATAATACATATACGGCTCTGTTTTTTCAATACTTCGTTTTAGAGAAAAAAATATCGACATCGAATTCCGTCGAAGCAAACGACCTGGGCGTGTAATTTCATCTTTCCTAGATAGTTGCTGTTACGTTAACTAGAATAGCTACGATATGTAACAGCAATAGTCAAGCATATATATAAATATTGCTTATAGGGTGGTACAAAAATCAGGATACATTTGTAATCCTATACCTAAACAAATGTGTCCCACGATTTGGTTGATCCTATATGAATATTTGAATACATATATATAGCTATATATTTATATTAACAAAGAATAGCAGACATACTATCCTATAATAGAAGGTAAATTAAAGCCTTATACAAAGGACAGATACAGTAAGTCAGATACTACATACATATGCGTGCGTCACAGAAACGTAGCGACGTCTTTTCGATCGACGAATAAACAAAATCCTGGGCCATAAGAATCATCTCGCAAATTCACCACACAGCCGGTCAAGTTCAAGGATTGACCTTGTCGTGCGGCGTTGCGTAAACATCAGCCTGTCGCCGGCAGTTTTCGTACCATTTTCGACGAAATTAAACGTTGGACCGCTGACGTAAGAGTTGTATTAGAGGTAAGAGATCTCAGTTAGTACTTTTTTTTTATTTCGCCTCCCATGATATCTGGACCCTCTTACGAATTGGACTTTCTAACTGTAAATCTATATGAATATGGATAAACCGCAGCAGAATCTTGTGCATATGTAAAATCCATGCTCCGAAAAAAAAATCTTCGCATGTGCATATATTTTTATATATCGATAAATTATTATGATTATGTATCCGAATACTAAGACTGCTTTGTAATTCTGTACATTCATAAATATTATGAGAATATGAAATTATGCGTGTACATAAAAATATGCATATAATTTTTATTTCATTTGAGAAAGAGGAAATGTTCTTCCTCTCTGGTCAGAAGATATGGTTTATCTGTTGACCTTGGCAATGTGCTATCAGCTGTTCCACTTTACTGCAAAAGCTTCTAATTGTACCGAAATCTCTTTGCTCAATTTTTTTCTTCTTCTAATCGTCAAATTAATTTGACGTTGTTTGATTCTGCATATCAAGTGGATTAACTGTAATGGTTTATTCACATGTATTGCAATTTGTCGTTGATACGTAATAACAATTATTGTGTCCTTATCAATTTTAGTACTCTAATAAGAATAGGGGGTCATACGCGAAAAAATATCGCGAACCTTAGCAGAGGATTCACTTAACTGAGAGTAAATTCGCGGATGCACTTTGCTCGAGTAAAATTGCATCCTCATTAAAATAGTACGTGCTAGATGTACGAAAACTATACTTATACGCAAATCTGTAGAGACCTAACATATTGCGAATTTGAATTGTAATGTATATATATGTGCGACATACCGATATCGTGATAAAGAGGCACACGCAACTCGTGGGAATAAACGAATCGATTCTAGCTCCTAGCATGCGTTAAAACAATCGCCAATTCGAAGGTTACAGTTTATGCGTGTACACAAACCTAAAGGCAGGTTAACACGTACGCGAATAATAGTTAAAGCAGCCTATAGAAAGGTTTCATAAGCTGTGTAACAGCATCATCGACGTTTCAAGTCGAAAAATCATTTTGGAAATTTCGCGTAAGGCAATTTAAATTTAATGAAAAAGAAAATTATTTTATCAATAAAAAAATTGTATTCTGTATGCTCACTACTTGTCACAGTCTTGGCACGTGTTGCGTGTACGAGTGACAGTTCTCAAATTTCCCACTAGGTATATGCTTACCTCACGGAGTAGGACCTTCCCGGTTTGGAGGCCATTGCACCGCTAACAGTTGCAGCAGCCACTTATCGATTTTCGACTAGTCCCCTTTACCCCGACCCTCCGCGACCTACTGTTCAGGAAGAGGATGGTCTTCCTACGAAGAGAACATCCTCTTCAAGTCGTAGACGCTGTGCCAATCGATAAGCACAGGGCGCCAGTCGCCGTCAGTTACAGTCGCGCAATTTACGTTCCTGCACTCTTTCGTACAGCCCCACGCTTTTTCTTTTCACCAGATCCACCACGCCTCGTTATAAGGGGTGGCCGCTTCTGATCTGTATTCCCTTTCTTTTAGGGGAATAAAATTCCAGCACTCGTGGCACGTGCGAGCAGACTGGAGAAGGAAGAGTTTGAAGCACGTTCTTTAGGATCCACGTGGAGCACTGGAAGCTTGTGTGTACTTTACAGTGACAGTTCGTAGCAATTAATTAGTGGCGGCTTAATTAATTTTCGAGTAAGTTCAGATGTGTGTATTATGCTTAGAATATATGTATTTCAAATAATGTATGTCGATACTTTGTGTCTTTTGTGTTGTTGCCACTATATGTATTTTCTTGAGTCTTGTTTCTTTTTCCTTGAGAATCAACCTTTGCAGGTAGTCTACTTCAGCTAATGAATTCTCGTACCTTCTGTACCACTCGATGTATGTATTTTCACGAGATGTATGACACTTCGTCAACAGTCCCGGCCTTTAGAACATCTCGATTGCTAGTAGCGAGGAGGATTCCCCGGTGTGGACTGTTTATTTAGACGCGGTTTGTTTTAACGATTAACGAGTGGTTATGGAGTGTCCAGGTACGCTGTAGAAATCTTTACAGACAAAACTTTTTTACTCAGACTATTACAGGTGAAGCACCATCGTTTATACCACAAAACTGTTATTTAATTCATTTTCAGGTAAGACAACTAGGTACCGATTATTACAAATCGCCGCCGCTTGGAGCGTCTGTATGTATTTTCATGAAGTAAACACTAGATCATTGTACACGGCAGTGTCGAAAATGTCAGTCAATACTGCTTACAATAAAAAGTCACAGCTTCTGCGTGCAATGGCATACTAACAGTCTATCCTTTGTTTACCTACAAATAATAATCCTGTAGAAAGATCTTCTGAACTCCCGAAATTCCTTTGTACACGAGTTAACTATGTAAGTAGCAACGCGAGAACACAGTACGAAGCTCGTTGACGTTAGGCGTGCGATTGTAACTCGACGGTACGCGAAAGACGAATGAACGTCGCGGCGACTAGCGTCAGTGTTTCAGACTGAGCTTTACGTGTGGTGGTGGTAGGTAGTCGTAGCGGCGCGAGGGTGAACGAGACTGACAAGGAGGGAGCGAAGGAAAAAGAAGGAATGAAAGAAGGAGACAGAGTGAGAAAGGCCAAAGTAGTGGGAGTAGAAGAATGGAGGGAAATTTGTTAGAGGGCAGAAGTCAGGGGTTGGCTGAACGCCGGATGGGGATAGAAAATTCTCGAAATTTCAGATAAACCTACCAGCGCGTTATTGGATATTCCGATGCACCCATTGCACTCGCTACGTGCACTCTCTTTGCACGAATCTTCTATCGATCGCATCGCAGTGCGACTAGGAACGTGACAACTCGGGCCGCTGACTCGTAACGCGCAGGTTTTATACGCTCGAGTAATAAATATATATCTATATACTTATGCACCGTAGGTAACGCGATGCAGTTTTATGTGGTAAAAAAAAGATGGATGCACCGATCGCACGACGCATCTTCTAGATTGTCGACGTTCTTATACATAGTTAAGGTCACCTCTGATGTATTGGCTATAGGTATACAGGAATATCGATTTTATATGGAAAGCAGGTGCGTTCTGTGGGCTGATATCAATCATCCGTATTTTTCGAAAATTGCGAAAAAGCATAATTACTTCTGATACCGAATAAATTGATTGCCCATTGTTCCTTTGTTAAATGAGTGATTAAATGTTGCCATTAATTTCCCAGGGTCTCACATTTTATTGCTGTGTAAAATCGATACCGATCTATCGATTGAAAAATTTTGGATCAGGACTATGACGTCTCGACGATGCTTCTTGTACTTCCAGACGCATAAATCGCCTGCCGCGTATACGTCTGTAGTATGCGCCTAAGTATATATAGTCCTCCAGAAATATATGTCGAGTGTACAAATTAAAAGGCACTTCCGTTTTGTCATGTTCGCGTTCTTCGAGACGCCTAGTCTCGTCGCGAATTTCTCTTCCGATCGCGATGCTGACGAAGATGTCGTGTCGACGATTCGTAACGGCAAATGAAGCGCGCATCAAATCGCATCTGCACGATCGGTAAGTATCGAGGTCGCCGCATAAGAGACTCCACGATGATTTGGTCGACGCTTCTTCTTAGATAACGGTCATTCGATTTCGAATTCAGATCGCATTTTTTTTCGAGCATCGACTTATTGTTAGAAATCGATCGTGATCCATATTCATCGATATTGATCGGCGACTTAATTAATACCGTTAATTGCAATTGACACTTCCTCTATCGTGCATTCCAATCTACTATAAACGCGATTGACTAATTCACCGAGCGAAACCGATTTTTGCGCATGCGCGTAAGGGAGACGATTTTTTTTTACCTTGACTGCAATTCTTACAGTTGGCAATATATTTACAATCGGTTCACCAATCAAATGCTGTTTTTTTTTAAAGTCGTAATCAACGAAATCATTGCCAAGTGGAACGTGACTTTCTATAAAATCACTGAAAAATATGGTAAAAGAAAAAAATGTTATATATTAGTGCAAAACATAGTTCATGTATACTTCGTAACATAAATTTTATGCAGTCATATGGCGATTGCTAGGGATTTAATTTTTATCAATTAAAAAATAATTTACGTTTGAATCGACTATAGTGTATAAAAATTAGATATTTCGAATGACGATATTCTCCCGCCTAAAATCACATGCGATTTTTTCTCGCAGATCGCGCGCCGATCGCACACGGCGCATGCGCAGCATACACCAGACGAATATATATACATATTAAAGGTTAACAACTTTTTATTTCTTAAATAAACAGCGTTTTTCATAATTTCGCAGCTTAATTCGCAACTATTTTTTATTTAACCAAAATCTATAGGTATTTTATTTGCACAACGATCGATCCGTTACAGCTTTATTATATCTATACGTAGTATAAGGTGCGGTCTAACTTCACAGTCAATATCTCGACCTCAGCGATACACCTAGTCCAATCTGACTATAGATATCGTTTTTCTACTAATGTATTGTAAGTACTAAAAGACATGCCGTGCCTTTCGCCCTTGCCAAAACACGAAGCATTTAGTTGAACAAAGCAGCCCCAAGTAAACGCGTCGTTCATGACCGAATCGATCCTAACCGAACTGGGCTAAGTATCGTTCTTCATTATTATTATATGTTCTTTCTGTACTCGACCCGCATGCTTAGTAAGCTACGAGCATCCCGAACGAATTTCGTCACGTCACGAATAAAAAGTTCGGCGAGCAGTTGACCTTGCCGATCGAAGTAACGTGTTTACGATTGCGGCACGTACGTAACATTATTATCAAGTTGAACCGCTGGGAAAAAGTTGAGTTTCGCTTTACAAACATTTTTAACATTGAAATCGATCAATAAGAAAAATACATCGTACATAATAGAAGTCTCTGATCGGTATTGAAACTTTTATCTGACGAATACAGCAATTGAAAAATATTTTTGAACAGAGCATTTGAGGTTAATAGAATCTAACCTCTAATTCGTCCATAATTGTAATCTCTTGAATTATTTTTCTGATATTAAATTACCTTGAATGGACAAACCCGTTACTGCATTTCGACCTAGGAATTGTATATTTATAGGTATCACCTGTCCCGCGCACTGGCCTTTTTTAATATCTTTTTTTACAACCAAATTCTTTAATTTTTTGGCTTTACAACGTTTGCGGTAAACGTACAAGTAAAAAATGTTTAAGGAATCTTTTGAGAATGCCGACAATGACGGGTACTGTTAATTATTTATTAATTAAGAATTACGTCATGCTCGTGTAAGAATACTTAATCGTTTCTTCCATATTTAATATCTGCAGTTGCAGAGACTCTTAACAGTACCAGATACTTCCTTAAGATAAGATTAAAGATTACCATCTCCGTGTAACTTTTGCCGTTGCATCTGCTCTCGCATCTTGGAACAGTAAATGCACGTGCATTCATCTGAAATCCTATAGGATTATTATCTTCTCTACCACCACATTATTCATAGTCTGTCCATCGTTTTACGTAACCAAACTTTTTCGCAGCTCCAAAAGTTCATGGAAAGGTGTTCGCAGCCATTAAATATTGCTTACCGCGTGAACTTTACTTCATAGCAAGTCTACAGCATTTGATACAAAATTTCTCAGATAGGAATTATCGATCATAGAATGTGGGTCACCGGTGAAGATACCAAAATGGCGGACACGATAGATATTACATAAAACTAAGACAAATCGTTTCTAAAAAATACAGCCTCTTTCAAATCTCTCATAGTCTGACAATCTGTATGCATTTTTTCTTAACAAAAATTCTTACTGCGAGTTTTGCGTAAATTTGAAAAATATACGCGAATGAGGAAAAGTTGAAAAAATATAGCTCACCCGCGCATGCGCACCTCTGGCTCGGTGCAACTAGCAAGAGTAATGGCTTTCTTGAGGAACAACAAGGCACTGTGCCCAAAGGCGACTTTCAAATATAAATGACTATAAAAGTAGAATAACGAAGCGTTGCGCAATGCCCTGGTTACGTAAGAGTCGCCTAAAGGCGTTTCAGATGCAGTGATGGTTATATCTGTATATCTATACATGCCGGATGAAAAGGTTATACTCGAGGTTGGGGAGGGTTGATGGTAATACGAGATATCGCGAGATATCAGCACGAGGAGGGAAAAAAATGAAATAAAGTATTAAAACGTGATTTCGAAAGAACAAAAAGTTGCAAATGCATTTCACGTGAATAAAATGATGGGTGGAATTTAGTCATAACCGGAAGTGGTTAATTTTCTCAAAAATTAACCGCACGTCTAATTCGCTTATGACTACTGTCGTATAGCAACGTGTGTTATCGAGACTGTTATGTAAACATAAAAATTGCATTGGTGCAAGCCTATTATTACTTTGTAATAATGTGTTTTTATAGTGGTAAAAAAATTATATAAAATTTTCAAATTATTGTCATTTTGAAATATTTTTTTTCTGAGGTTGTTGCTACTACCCCTACTACCGTGGCATCCAGTTATTTCAGTTCTATTAATTTTTTTTACATTTTTTATCGACTGCATCGTTCTTGGAAATGCAATACGATCCAACGGGATGCGTTGCATCCCTCGGATACACTTTCCGGCGCCTGAAGCGAGACTCATGCTCGGGCGGGCAAAAACGAAGCTGCAGGATTAAAATAGGAAGTTATTTTTACAAGGAACCCCCGAGAGAGATCCTCGATTGAGCTTCGCTAGACCTTAGAGAACGGATCTTGGTAAGTGGGATCAAATGGGGCGCGCCAGAAGAGAAAAGAGAAAGAGAGGAGCACAACGAAAAAGGGATACAAAAGAAACGGAAAGCATCGAGTCACTAGGCGCTGCTGAGCGGAACTGCGTGTAGGTGGGCACATCCGGTCTTTTGCGTTACGATTAGCTGAGCCGACTTATTGAATTTCTTTTTATGGAAAATTCTTCGACGTCAATTATGATATCGGGATTTATTGTTTTATCGAAGGTAAATTAAATAGTCTGTATAACAAAGTAGGTCGATCGGATTAAAATATATATTTTCATTGAGGAACAAATTAAAAATTTTGAGTTTCAATTTCATGGTAATTTAAGGTTAGTCTCTTATAGGAAGAGGTGAGGTAAAGTTTCAATAGAAAATCAATCATTCTTGAATTAGGTTAATAGCCATCCTCGTTATGAGCGTAATATATATGTATACTATACATTATATATATTGCAATATACGCATGTATGTACGTTCTAATAATATCTTGACTTGGCAAATTTTTTAAATTTTTTATGGCAAATGTATGCTCATTATATTTAAGTATAGGACGAACATTTTTAAGACGAAGGGCATTATTAAAGACGAAAAAAAAAATATTGAAAATCGAATAAATCAAATATAATATCCGACATAGTGAACGTATCGAAAAGGCCAATCCAATCTCTACCAAGTCTCATGGCAATAAAAAGTGGTATGGACAAGTGTTTAAAACAACTACAGTTC